GTGTGTGTAAGTCGAAGATTTTTTTTCGGGAAAATTTCCCGGAAAAGATCGTTTACTGAATGATAATGTCAATGAACCAAAGAAAAAATGCCGTAAAGTTTTTTTTGAAACGAAAAAAAAATGTTATGGCTATTTTGTGGTGATGGTGTCAAAATCCTTTTCGTTTTTTCCCTTTCCTTCCCCCACTCAAATGGATCATTTCTTTGTAACCATGGTTTTTTTTCCTCAAAAATATCATCATTAAAATAACGACAATTTCCTCCCCCTCCAGAATCCCAAAAGCCCACACTGTGTTGTTGATGATGATTTTCAACCCCAAAAAAGGAAAAAATCCATCCCAATTCGTCCATCACTTTTTTTTGACTATCGAAGACATTATTGATGGATCTTTTCGGTTATTGTTGTTGTTTTTGGCTATTTCCATTGATTTCTGAATTCATTCATTTTCTTGCTTGTCACAAATGCAATGTGGGTGTGGGCGTGCAATGAAAACGCTCCGCCCACTTGTTTTCTTGTTCCCGCCCACCAATTCTTAATCTAAATTAATTATGACAAATCAAAATGATAATGATAACGACAACGGCTACAAATATTAATTATTATTAATGTTCATTTGAATTGATTTCGATTCCATTCCATTCCATTCATTTTTATGAAATTCAATCTACAAAATGTGTCGAGTTTCTTTTCTTCGCTTCTTTAGACCAAAAGAAGAAGAAGAAAGCAAAATTGCTGTTGTTGTTGTTGTTGTCAAATTTGTCGTCGTCATCATCATCATCATATTCAACCAGCAAAGTGAAGTTGAGCGAAAAGTTATTTATGATGATGATGATTTTTGGCTGCATAATCGCTGTCGTNAGCCGAAGATTTTTTTTTGGGAAAATTTCCCGGAAAAAAATCTTTCACTAAATGATAATGTCAATGAACCAAAGAAAATGCCGTAAAGTTTTTTCGTTTTGAAAAAAAATGTTATGGCTATTTTGTGGTGATTATAATGGTGTCGATATTGAAAAAATAAACAAAATCCTTTTCGTTCTTTTTCCCCTTTCTTCCCCCACTCAAATGGATCATTTCTTTTTTTAGTTTGTAACCATGGTTTTTTTCTCGAAAATATCATCATTAAAAATAACGACAATTTCCTCCCCCTCCAGAATCCCAAAAGCCAACTGTGTTGATGATGATGATAATGATTTTTTCAACCAAGAAATCAACAAAATCCATCCCAATTCGTCCATCACTTTTTTGACTATCGAAAACATTATTGATGAATCTTTTCGGTTGTTTTTGGCTATTTCCATTACATTGATTACTGAATTCTTCAATTTGCTTGTCACAAATGCAATGTTGGTGTGGGCGTGCAATCAGTACTCTCCGCCTACTTGTTTTCTTCTTCCCACCCCCTCCCAACAATTCTTAATCTAAATTAATTATGACAAATCAAAAAATGATGATAATAACGACGGCTACGAAATATTAATTATTATTAATGTTCATTTGAATTGATTTAGATTCTCATTCCATTCTCATTTCATTCATTTTCGTTTTTATGAAATTCAATCTACAAATGTGTCGAGTTTCTTCGCTTCTTTAGACCAAGAAGAAAGCAAAATTGCTGTTGTTGTTGTTGTTGTCAAATTTGTCGTCGTCATCATCATCATCATATTCAACCAGCAAAGTGAAGTTGAGCGAAAAGTTATTTATGATGATGATGATTTTTGGCTGCATAATCGCTGTCGTCGTCGTCGAAAATTCAAATGTCTTCAAGCATTTTTTCGACGACTATTTCCACTTCACATCATTTTAATCCCCGAGAAGAAAAAAATAAAGCTCATCATCATCATTTGGAGATGTGCGAAGAAGAAGAAAAAAAAATCAATTTCTCAATTGAAAGCGAAAATTTTCTTTTGGTTTTGTTTCCGGTTTCATAGAGCAATTTTTTTTGGAAAATTTCTGATTTTTCCGGAATAATTCCGGGATTTTTTTCCGAAAATTTTTTTTGCAGAAATCAAATTCAATTTGAATTCCGGATTTCTGTTCTTTCCAGTAGTTTGGCGCCCAAAAAAATGGTACCTTCAATGTATAAAAATAGGAGAATCAAAGAAGTTTTTATTTTTTTGTCAACTACATAGAAAATCAATCAATCAAATTAAATCAATTTGATATTCTCAGAAAAAGAAGAAAAGAAGAAAAAGAAGAAGAAAAGCCAAAGAAAATTCCTCAGCCAAAAAAAAGAATGTCACAAGCCACTTATTGATTATAAGGATTATTATTTTTCAGGGATTCAATCATCTTTGCATCAAGCATCAATCAAATACATCATCTTTGTGAAAAGCATCATTAAGATTTGCTTGACCTTTTCTGTTTTGTTTTGTTGTTTTTTTTTTTTTGCTTAATTCATTTCATATTGCATATATTGGATTCCATTCTGCGTAATATTTGCTTTCTTTTTTCTCGATCAATTGATTGATTATTGATGTTTTTGTTTTCTCTCTAATTTTTCTTCTTCGTTTTTTTTTGGTTCTGATTCAAGCCGGCAAACTACAAACTACAAACGAAAACAACAACTACAAACGAAAACAACAACAACAACAAACGAGAGCAACAACAACAAACGAAAGCAACAACAACAACAAAAAATATTCTTTTTTTCTTCATAAGAATCCACTTAATAATAATTTTTTGTTGTTGTTGTTGTTGTCGATGATATTTGATGACCCAAAAACAAAAATCAAATCCATTTTGGAATGCAAAAAAAGAAGGAAAAAAATGAACGAAAAACGAATGTAAAATTAGATCAAATAACAGCAGAATAATGCCAGAATGCTTATTTGTTTTTCGTTTTTTCTTCTTTTTTTCCTGAATTTAAGCAAACACACACAACACACTTGATATGTTCGATAGTCAATTGAGAAAATAAAAACAGAGAAAAGATGAAGAAGAAGTCATTTTCTTGCCTGTGAATCTTGAATCGAAGAATTCTTTGTTTTGTGATCCACTTTACACACAAACAAACGAAATAAGAGAAACTAGAAAAACAACAAGAAAATTGCATAGAGATGTAATCGGCAGCCATCGTTGATGCTTTCATTTTCTTTGTCTGTTTGTCTTTTCTGTCTTTTTCCTATTTTGTTTTCAAGTTTCGCTTTCTCGTTTTGTTTGTTATCGATCTCTGTTTTGAAGATAATTTGTTCAAATAATGTTTACTGAAATAATAATAATAATGATGTAATGATCATCATTGATGACGATGATCAATACTGATAATGATAATAACCATAATCATTGAATGATTTTTTCTTCTTCAAATCAAAATGGTAAGATAAGATTGAAAATCTGTTTGATTTGAAATGGTTTGATTGGTTGAATGATAACATCTTCATTCAGTCACTTTTCAGTCATTAGAATGGAGAGAGAGAGAGAGAGAGAGAGAGAGAGAGAAACACATTAATCATTCCAGATTCGAAATTGTCTTTTTTCGTTTTGTTTTTTCTACTACAAATTCAAATTGACAATCAAAACTTTTTTTTCTTCCAAAAAGAAGAAGAAATTCTCCAATTTTGTTTCTCTGGGGTTAAATTACTTATTATTANGAATCTCACTTAATGAAAAGAAATCTGATGGGAATCAGGATGGTGATGCTTTTTGGAATTTTATTTCATCAGTGAAACAAAAAAAATATCATTTTTTTCTGTGTCCGTTTCATCAATTTTTGTTTTGTTTTTCTGGGTGCAATTTGCTCTGTCTGTTGTTTTTCTGTGACCACCAGAAAATGTCAAACGAAAATTAATTACATTTTTTCTGTTGTTTTGTTTCTGGCCAAAAATGTGATATTATAATATTCATTATACAAAAGAAAAAGAAATGCGCTTAATAAGCATTTTTTTGTGTTATGGTCAGTTTAACCTAACCTAGCATTAAACTTGTAAGTCAGCCTAACCTGACCTCATTGAACTAAATGAAAAGAAAAGTTATGCAGTGAAAAGTTTTGTGAACAGAAAACAGAATCCAGAATTTTATCGTTGAAAAATCTATTAAAATTTTTTGCCAGATGTCGTCCAGAATTCTTGCTTTGTTTTGTTTATTCTGGAAGCCAAGAATCCAAAGGCAAGTAACCACACATTATTCTTATTCATTATCATATCATCATCAAACAGAATCTGACAGAAGAATTTTCCTTCCAGAATAACAAAAAAAAACGTTAAATTCTTCTTCTGGGCAGAAAAACTTTTTTCAAACAAACAAAACAAAAAAAGTTTACAAAACTTCATCGATCGATCGATTTGTAAGCCACAATTGTTGAAAATATAGTTGAAATCAACAACAACAGCAAAAAATTAATTATGAAATGTTGGTCGATTGAAGAAACTTTTCGGAAAAAGTTTTCGGAAAGAAAAAAAAATGTAAAATTCATTCAAATGAATGAATGGAAAAAAACTTTACAAAAATTAAAAATCCTATTCAAAAATGTTCAACAAGGATTATTAGGAAAAAATTGATGAAAAAACATTCATTCATTCATCTGATTTGATTGCAGCATGGATGAATCGATAAAATTTGTTGTTGCTGCTGTTGTTGAATAATGAATGATGCTTTTGATGAAAAAGTGTTTTCGAAATAAGCAAACAAGAAAATGAAAAATTTCAAAATGTTCAAAAAACGAAAACAAGTGTAAATCGAGTGCAAAGAAAGTTTTCGAAAGTTCACTAAAGCTTGTCTTTTTTCATTGAAAAATTGTGCACGAAAAAACAGCAACAGAATCGCGAACAAAACAGAATCACTAACAGAACAGAATAAAGATTCTTGTTGTTGAACCAAAGAACAGAATTGTGAAATTTAATCATTTCGCTGTCGTTGTTGTTGTTGTCGTTGTTATTATTATTGCATAACAAAGATGTTAAGCAGATCAAATTTTTTTTTTCTATGGGAAAAAAAATGTTGTTTTGAATGAAAATGATCAAAATGATCAAATAACATTCAAAAATAATTTATTTTTTTAAATTTTTTCGAAACGAAAATTACAGGTACAAATCAGGTAATGAGGTGGGGATGGTGGGGTTGATTGGTAAGTTTGATTATTAGTTAGTTGGTTATTGATAATTATCCGGTACAGTACCATTCAATATATGTTGATTAATCAATTTAACTTTAAAACAAGATTTTTGTTCACTTTCCAATTCAAATAATAATAATGTATTAATATCATCATTGAAATTAAACCAAACATTCGGTATATATAATGTTATTTGTGGTCCCATAACCGGCCAATAACGACCTAAATTATGACCATTTAAAAATGCTTGTCCTTTACGTGAACAACTACGAACATCAAGAAACCATTCTCGCTGGCGATCCTTATCGGTCATATTGAATACACCTAAATAGAATGCAGGATGTAGGTTGAATGTACGTTCAGGACAATCATTCATACAATCATGATTGGATTCTTCATTTCGGTTATTCAAAAATCGATTTTGTTGTTGTTGTTTTCGTTGTTTTTGTTGTTTCATTGATTTTCGATAACCAATCGAAATTGTATCGATTATTGTTGACCAATTATAAAATAATGGATATTGTTTCCATTTTTTTAATAAACGATTACCTAATGTTACATTACCAACAATTCCCTTTCACATATAACGTAATGTTGATGTTGTAAGGGTAAGAAAAATGAAAGAAAATGAAAGAAAAATAAAAGAAAATTAATAAATTTTTTGTTTGTTTGTAAATTCTTCTTTTCGTAGAAATAATAATAATAATAATAATCCAAGTTTACTAAAAATAAAAATAAAAATACTAAGTACTTTTTCAATTTACTTGATTGCATCATCATAATAATAATAATAATAATAATTCTTTATGATATTATTATTATTATTGGGAAACTTTATTATTATTATTAGAATTTGATCGTAATCAATTTTTTTCTTCGTTTTTGTTGTTGCTTTTCAGGAACATTTCTTAAATATCTTGAAAGATTTTCTCTCTCTCTCTATCTCTTCCTATATTTATGGATTTAAATCCCTCTATATATCGTACTTTAGTTTCAACATTTTCTCTCTCTCTCTCTCTCTCTCTCTCTCTCTCTCTTATCTAATATCCTATTCTTCATCACGACAAAGATCATTAATTGCTTCAGATTCTTTTTCTTTTTCTTTTTCATTTTTGGGTTCCTTAAGTATATTAAATAGAAAATAAAGACAAAACCAGAATAGTAAGACAACCAAAGAAAAAAAAGTTCATCGTCAATCACACACTTTAAACCGAATTTTATCGTCGTCATCATCATCATTATCATTGGTTTTAGTTTGGTTTTGAAATTATCCAAAATGATAATGAAGAAAAAGAAAAAAAAAGAAAAAGAAGAATCAGAAATAAATTCTGAAAGAATTTTTTGCCCCAAATTTCTAATAAACTTTTCCGTAAACTTTTCGGGTTTTTTAATGTTCCAAGAAATAAAAAACTTAACTTTTTTTTCCGGTTTTTTTTGTTTTGTTTCAGCAGAAATAAAATTCCCGAAAAATAAATTGATATGGTTGGGTCGAGAGAAGAAGAGAAGAAGATTAAATTGACGATGGATGGTTATCGATTGGTTTTTTGGTTTTGAACAACAAATAAATTTCGATTAATCTTTTGCCAGTTTCATTGGGATGATGATGATGTTTTGGCTTTTGGTCGTTTTCTTTTATTTCAAACTAAAAAACAAAAACAAAAGGTTTGATCTGACTGCCTGGATCAATTTATTTTCAAACCAAACGCAAACCAAACACCCAGGAACATTTTCTATCCACAAATTTAACGAATGGACATGAATTATCAAAGAATTTTTGAAACAAAAATCATTGAATATCCGAGATTTTAGAGATTTTTCAAATTTGTTTTCAATCATCGATTATGAAACGAATGGAAGGAACGAACGACAAAAAGATTTAAAAAGCCACACTGACACTCATTCAGCTTATTAACTTTAGTGAATTTTTGTTTTTTGTTTTGGTTTTTCAAACAATAAAAAAGAGATAATGATTACCGATGAAATAATTGATTGATTTTCGAATCGATTAATCATAAATAATGTCTGTCTTTTTGTTTGTCTGTTCGGTGTGGTGTGGATGTCATTAATCATTAAACATCATCGCTAAATAGAGAGAGAGAGAGAGAGAGAGAGAGAGAGAGAGAGAGAGAGATAAAAAGGAAGGAAATGATAAATTTTGATGATTTTTTTTCATTTAATTTCATCANTTCAAACAATAAAAAAGAGATAATGATTACCGATGAAATAATTGATTGATTTTCGAATCGATTAATCATAAATAATGTCTGTCTTTCTGTTTGTCTGTCTGTTCGGTGTGGCGTGGATATCATAAATCATTAAACATCATCGCTAAATAGAGAGAGAGAGAGAGAGAGAGAGAGAGAGAGAGAGAGATAAAAAGGAAGGAAATGATAAATTTTGATGATTTTTTTTCATTTAATTTCATCAATTTTTTCTTTGATAAGTCTGGCCGGATATTTTTTTTTGACGACATCCAATTCATTGATTATATCGATTCCCGGACAAATATTCTGTACACTCTCTCTCTCTCTCTCACCCGATTATGTCAAAAATCTATTTTAATGAAATCATCATTTTGATGATGATTATAATGATGTAACATCTGGCGGCTACTGTATGGATATTTATTATCAAACATTTTTTTTGCATCCAAAACAAATTTGTTGTTGTTGTTGTTGATGAAGATACTGTCAAATGATGTGATATTTTTTTTAGGGGGGGGGGCAATGATGATGATAAATTCTGGATTCTGTTCATCTGGATGAACAAAATGTTCAATAAAGTCCAATCGATTGATCAATCGACAAAGAAATTTCCAGGGAAAAATGTTTTGCAACCAGAAAAAATATGATGATGATGATGATGATTTATATGATTAGAAGAAGAAAAAAACGTATTTATCATTCATTTTCAAACATCACATGAAAATTATAATGGTGGATGTACAAATGTGAGGATAACTTAACCTAATCTAAACAACAACAACAACAAAACTTTGATAGCAGCTTTGAATTGCCAAAATGGATCAAAAATCACCAGAAAACCAGAAAATGTAAACAGAACAGAACAGAACAGAACAGAACAGAACAGAGAATATCTCATTCATTCATTCATTCATATGTTTGTTGATACATTACTTTAATTAGTTTTGATTAATTTTACTAATTTTGTTCTCTTTTGACAAACAAGATAGCCCAAAACAACAAAAACAGAAAACAAAACAAACATTTATCAACAGAAATTCAAAGTTAAATAACAACAACAACAAAGAATAGAGATTTTTCTTCTGGTGATAATAAACTTGGCCCATCTCTCTCTCTCTCTCTCTCTCTCTCACTCTCTTTATCTTTTTTTTCGGTTGACAATATCATGACATCCAAACAAAACAAAACAAACAAAGCAAACAGAAAAAAATGACAAAAGTCACTTGGTGTTTCCAGCAACCAGAAACAAACATTAATTTCTTTCATAATAACTCATTCTCAAAAAAAAACCCGAAAAAACTTATCAATTTTTTTTCCTGGTGGATTTTATCAATGTAACAAGATAAGGCAAACCACTCATCGAATGAATGGTTATCATGGTAATGTGTCAAAATAGAAAAACATTCAAAATAAAAAACACTAACCTTTAATTCAGGTTTGGATGTACAACAAGCATGACCTTGATTTTCAACCAACAAACCAATTCGATCACCAATTTTTAATGAATTTAATGGTGTTTTATGTATCATATCCATACGTGTTAATGTTGAACGATAATATTCATTTACAAATACCAATGAACGATCATGTAATTCAGTTATATTTAATAATATTGGATCAGATGGATAAAAATCTAATTGATATTCATAATAAATAAAACCATGTCGTAGGTAGATTTGTTCAAATGTTAATGGTAATTCGGATTCAATTGGTTTGATTTGATTTGATTCATCCATATCGATGAGAGAATTTTCAAAATTTGAATGATTTTTGATCAATTGAAAAATATCGATTAGAAAATCCATTCGAATGATTTTTTCTTCTTGATCGATTTTTTTATTGAACTTTGGTTCATCAATGATTTCATTGGTATAGGAAACATTACTGGAATCAATTGATTTTTTTGATAATGGTGGTACATGGGTGAAATACTTGAAGAAAGAGAGAGGGTCAAAATCAATCAATCAATCAATAAAAATGAGGGGGTGGAAAATTCACACATTGAATTCAATTGATCGATATTAGACTGAAGTGGATGGGAAAAAGAATCAAACACAAACCTTTTGAATAATTTTACGTATAGCAAAATATAATGGACGTAATTGACCATATTCACCAATTGGTGCAACATAATCATAACTAGTTGTCATTGGTGCTGATTGTTCACCCCAATAACCAAAATAACCATTCATAAATCCAAATGATGTACCACCATGATACATATAGCTAATTTTGTATTTTTGGTTGTTTTGTAATTATTATTTTATAAAAAATCAAATTACAAATTACAAAATTACTTACAAATTAACTGATGCATTTAATGCTAACATTTGATCAAATGTTTTAGTTATTGGTTCTACCGAAGCGGTTTGATGTTTAGTACCCCAACAATCAAACCAAACAGTATAATATTCACTATTAACTAATGGTCCATTATCAGAATAAATATTCTGTGCATCAAATGATTTACTTATATTAGCACCAGGACCAAAATCAATTGTAGGATAAACATTATCAATTGTACCATGTATAAGATAAGATTTATTATTACCATCAACAGTAAATAATAATAAATCATGACCAAGATAAAAACGAACTATATCACGTAACCAAACTTTATATTGATCATCATCAATTATAAATGATCCATATTCATTTTCAATTTGTGCCATTATAATTGGACCACCATTTTGATATAAATATGGTTTTAATAATGGTAACATTTTTGAATACCATTGGTGTACATAATGTAAAAATAATGGATCTGATGTACGATATTGCATTGAGGAATTTTTCGATGCTAACCAATATGGTAAACCTGACTATAGTATTGAGAAAGTTTCCAGGAAGTTAATTTAAACGAATATTTATGAAAAAAATTCTTACATTATCACGTTCACCCGCAATAAATGGCCCAAGACGAACAATAACCAACAGATTTGTTTGTTGTGCTAATTGAAAATATTTTAAAAAATTTAAATTTCCTTTAAAATCAAATATATCTGGTTCTGGTTGATGTGAACTCCATTCAATGTAGCTATTGTTTTGGTGTTTTTCATTTGGTTTTTAGATTTTTGTTTTTGGGAAAATGTCAAGAATATTCCGGTTATTTGTTTTTTCAAATTTCATCTTTCTTACGTTTGTATTGCATTCAAGCCACCTTGTCTGGCTTTTTGTAAACGATCCAGCCAATATTGTTCTGGTATACGAAAATAATGCATTGAACCGGATACATAACGAAATGGTTCACCATCTTTCCGGAATATTCCTTCGTTTTCATCAATTGTAAATGTACGTTGATTTGGCTAATTTTGAAAAAAAACGAGAAAAATGAGAAAAATGAAATTTAATACGACAAAACAAAGCAGAAAAAAAAACAATAAAACAAAACTTCAAAAGTGAATCATAAATTCCAGGTAAATTCCAATAGAAATACTCAATTAAACGAAGAAACTTTCCGGAAAGAAAAACCCTCATTATGATAATCATCATGATAATAAACTACATTTTGAAAAAATGAATTTCATTTCATTTTTTTAACAGTAGATTCGGGTGCGGTTATTATTTATTTGCTATAGTTTTGGCTAGTAATGGCGGTAATCCATGAAAATTTCAATGAGAAGAAAAAAAAAGATAATGGGAATTGAGGGTTAAAAAAAATGAAATGAACCGAAAGAAAAAAGGAGAGAGAGAGAGAAAAAAGGATTTTCCCTAATGATGATGATGATGATGATTGGAAACTTTCGGGAAAAGAATGAAGAAGAAAAAAAAACTTAATCAGATTTATTGGAAATTTTTCTTCTTTTGATTTCTATCTTGAATAACTACATAGGTATTACTGTTGATGGGAAAACATTTTCAAAAAAATCAAAAAATCTAGAAATCATCATCATTGAATCACTGAATATCGATATTTGAATTGAAAATGGAATCGAGATCGTTTCCGAGAAATTTCCCAAAAATTTAGGTCAACCCAAAAACCAAAAAAAAACTGAAACGAAAAATCCAATTTTGATTCGGGAAAGAATATGATAATAAAAAAGGGTTGTAACCAGAAAAAAAATTTTCAGAATCTTTTTCTGGAATTTTTTTTTCACGAATAAATTAAGAGATTCAGCAACAACAACAGAATTATACTGGATATTATCATAATAATAATGAAAAAAAAATAGAAACTTACCGAAGAATTGGCCAAACCTAAACCGAAGAAAATGAGAAAAATTTTCGGGAACATTTTTTTCCGAAATGTTTTTTTCAGTTCAAGATTCAAAAAAAAGGTTTGTTTGTTTTTTCGGTTTTCAATCAAACCAGGAGAAAACTTGCCGGAAAAAATTTAATTAAAAAAAAAATGATGACGTTCGGTTTTGAAAAACTTTTGAAAGTTAATAATTTTTTTATTTGGCCCGTATCAATAGCCGAAATATGAATTTTGTAGAAAAAATTAACGATGATGAAAACCCGTAGGCATTTTTTTCTTATTCTGAACGCCAAAAATTTTCAATCATCAAAGTTTTTTTCTGGTTTTGATGGATCGATTTCTACACACAGTGTTTAAAATTGATTTTGATTGAAAGTTCAACTAAAAAAAGCAGATTTCGATGGAAAAACTGAAATAAATTTAATCAAATGGAAAAAACAAAAACAGAAAACTTCAAAAGGTAAAATTGAAAATTGAAAATTGAAAAGAAAATTTGATGAAATGAAAAATTCAATGAATTTTTTGTTGTTGTTGTTTTTATTTCACGAAAAACAAACTCGGTGATTTCATTTTTATTTCGTTGATTGGAAAATGGTAAACAACAACAACCGATGACAACATCCATTGAGTTAATATCGTAGTTTTGATTGATTGATTTGATTTGATTGATAGAAATCATCCTCAACAAATATTCAAAATTTTATGTTTGATAAAAATTTATCGACAATATCACTCTGATGATAATGATTTTCTTTTAAAAATTGATTGGCAAAGCATCAAAGAAGGAGAAGGAGAAGATCAATGAACGAATTGATAAAAGTTAATTATGGATGGATGGATGGAAGGATTTTCTTTGATTTTATCATTTGGTTGGTTGGTTGGCTGGTACTTGAAACAAAAATCTAAAATATTTCAATAATGATCATCATCATAAACTGATTTTTGATTTTTTAAAAAAAATTTGGTTGTTACGGTAATCAATCAATCGATAACAAAAATCAATAAATTTCATTAGCAAAATCTTAATGAAAATTCCTTTCTTTTTTTTTTATTATGATCACCATGATGATACCGATTGGTTAATGTTATTTAACCCCGAAAAATCCAAAATTTCAAAAATCAACCACCACTGTCGAAATAGAATAAAATTCATGTCCGTTTGGTTTATTTGGGAAAAATAATCATCATAATTTTATTTCAAATTTTTAGTTTTTTTTTGTTTGTAACAACTATTTTGACAGAAATAGATAGAATTTTTTTTTGTGTGTGTGTGGTTAACATCAACAATCAACGAGAAAAAAAAAACACAAAACAGGAATTTCATCGGTTTGTGGTTGCAATAATGTGATGTGAATAAAGTGAATTTTCAATTTTTTGTTTTAGTTTGTTTTGTCCAATTTGAACGCAATTAAATCAATCAATCGATTGATTGATTATAGATGAAACGATGACTTTTTCCTTTTCAGTGTTTTAATGAAAAATTTTAGCTGTATGTGGACTTTTTTTAGCCACAACCGGTAATTTTTCACCAGTTAAATATGGATTCTGTTTAAACTAAATGAATGAAAAAATAGTAAGATAGTAAACAGGGTGTAAATAGTGGAAAAATCAANAGAAATCATCCTCAATAAATATTCAAAATTTTTATGATTGATAAAAATTTATCGACAATATCACTCTGATGATAATGATTTTCTTTTAAAAATTGATTGGCAAAGCATCAAAGAAGGAGAAGGAGAAGATCAATGAACGAATTGATAAGAGTTAATTATGGATGGATGGATGGATGGAAGGATTTTCTTTGATTTTATCATTTGGTTGGTTGGCTGGCTGGTACTTAAAAAAAATCTAAAATATTTCAATAATAATGATCATCATCATAAACTGATTTTTGATTATTGATTTTTAAAACTTGGTTGTTACGGTAATCAATCAATCGATAACAAAAATCAATAAATTTCATTAGTAATGAAAATTCCTTTTTTTTTATTATTATTAATGGATCATCACCATGATGATACCGATTGGTTAATGTTGTTTAACCCCGAAAATATCCGAAAATATCCAAAATTCCAAACCATCACTGTCGAAATAGAATAAAATTCATGTCCGTTTGGTTTATTTTGGGAAAAATAATCATCATAATTTTATTTCAATTTTTTGTTTGTTTGTAACAGCAACTATTTTGACAGAAATAGATAGAATTTTTGTGTGTGTATGGTTAACATCAACAATCAACGAGAAAAAATAAACACAAAAACAGGAATTTCATCGGTTTGTGGTTAAAATAATGTGATGTGAATAAAATAAATTTTCAATTTTAGTTTGTTTTGTTCAATTCGAACGCAATTCAATCAATCAATCGATTGATTGATTGATTATCGATGAAACGATAGATTTTCCTTTAAGTGTTTTAATGAAAAATTTTAGCTGTATGTGGACTTTTTTTAGCCACAACCGGTAATTTTTCACCAGTTAAATATGGATTCTGTTTAAACTGAATGAATGAAAAAATAGTAAGATAGTAAACTGGGTGTAAATAGTCGAAAAATCAATCACTTACCGATTTTTTATCGCTATTTTCACCATCATTGATTATTGATCGTTTTACAATCGTAGATTTTTCATTACGTTTTTGAAAAAATTTTTTTGCAACAACTTTATGATCATCTTTTGATGTATCGATAGTATCGATAATTTTATTGATTGTTGTATCCAATTCGATACCTTCATTTTGTATTGAACGTGCTAATGTTTCTAATTCATTTTCATCCGTATTACCTGGGCAATTAAACATATGTTCCGAATCACACATACATTCTTGTGATGATTGATATTCTTTACTATAATCGGCTGAATTGATAAAATCTTCTAAACAACCATCATCAGCTACAAGTTGGGTTGAAATAGACAAAAAAAATTAGCAAAAAAATGATTATTTTTTGGGAGCTATTTAAACAAAATCAAACCTGAATAACCAATCGGACATGGATTTGGTGGATTACAATAAGCCGGTAATACTGAATCCGATTTTATCACCTGTACATTTGGTATACTACCATCTGGTTTTAAACGTTGTAAACCTTCACCAGCGCCACCTTGTACATATTGATGACCATATAATGATGAATGTTCCAAAAATTCTTTACGTGGTACAGGTTCTCTTGGTAATAGAATATCATCACGTGTTTGTAAATGATAATGATTATTCATCAATTCATTTGATTGTTGATCATGTTGTTCACGTTGTTCACTAAGATCTTTACGTATTCGATAATTCTAAAAGAATTTGTGGGAAAGTTTTCAGAAATTTAGAGAAAGTTTCCCAAAAATTTTCTCAACTTACATTCGAATCCAATAATGATGATGGATAAGAAAGAGAATCCTTCGGTGTTATCATTGATGATTCTTGTAATGGATCGACAAGTAAATATTGTTGTTGTTGCGGTAATTGCGATAATTGCGATTGCGGTAATTGTTGATCTTCATTCATACGTTCAATAAAATTATGTAACAGAGAATTCTGTATACGATAATCGCTATCATCGAAAAAATATGATTGATCGCCGCAATCGTAGCCACCAAACAACAAAATCAAATTGACTAACGCTAAATTCCAAAGGTAATTCATTTTGCTTTTGTAACTAAATTTAAATCTAAAAAAATTACAAATGAAAAAACAACAAACAATCAATCGATTCAACAGCTATTACAGAATCTAACAAACAACAACAACAAACGAAGAAACAAAGAAAAAATGAAGTTTTGCTTTGAGTTGTAAGCTCACTGAATGATAAAAAGACAACAACAACATAATTTACGTCATCAACAAAATGGCTACTTGAAATTCTGAAGAATCAAAGAATAAAATATATAGAAAAAAAAACAGTTCCATCTGGAACATTTATCTGGATTCTGCGCGCAATTTTTGCGATTCCGTCAACTAAATAAATCTCTGGAGATAAAGATCTTTCTATATAGAGATTACGAAATGCTGATGTTTGCTTGTTTGTTGTCAACGAAAATGAAAACGATAAATGTTGAGGGTTAAAAATTTTGGAAAATTCAAATCAAATTAATCGATTGATTTGATTATCGATATTTGATTTGATTTGGTTGATTTTCTTGATTGAATTATTGCTTGAATTTTTGATATAAAAATTTTGAAATAAAAAAATTTAATTTGAAGAATAATTTTCTGTTTGAAAAAGGGGTTGAAAAAAAAAGAATAATAAAAAAATTTTCTACAAAAAGTTTTGAAAAAAATCACAGGTGAAAAAATATGGATGAATTAATGCGTCGTGGTTATGAATCATTCGTCAGGATTGATGAAGGTGGTCAAGCAAAAGTATATAAATCAGTTAAACAAACAAAATTATTTGCCATTAAAGTTGTTCATGTTGAAGATCCAAATAATCCTCGGTTGGATGATGATTTGAAACGTGAACTGCAAATCATCCGCAATGTAAAACATCCTAATTGTGTCCGGTTGGAAGAATTACTTCGTAGTAAAGGTAAAATTTATATTATAATGGATTTTATGCCAAACGGTACTATTGGTAGTTGGGTTAAAACACATGGTCCGATTTGTGAATGGAAAGCACGTGCATGGTTTTGTCCAGTAGCACGTGCTGTTAAATATCTACATGAACATAGAATTGCACATAGGTATGATTAATTTTCGAAAACATTTTTTTTATACTAATTTAACCCTTCGTTATCACCTATATATAGAGATTTAAAATTGGATAATATCCTTTTGGATTCACATTGGAATCCAATGGTATCGGATTTTGGTTTTAGTCGTTTTGTTAGATTATCTGATTCTGGTCAAGTAGTTAAAAGTGATACATATTGTGGTACAACATCATATAATCCACCTGAAGTATTAAAACAAACACCATATGATCCATTTGCAGCTGATATTTGGTGTTTAGGTGTTATGTTATTCATAATGATAAATAAAATTTATCCATTTGATCGTCATGATAAACAAAAAATGTATGAATGTCAACTGAATAGACAATATAAATTACAAGATAGTATTGAAGAAAAATCATCAAATGATATTAAAGATTTAATCCGGATATTATTGGAACCAGATCCCGAACATCGTCCAAACATTCGTGAAATTTGTGAACATCCATGGTTTCCAATTGTATTAAGAGAAAATGAAATTTTATCAAGTCGTTCAATGATTAGTTTGAAAAGTGTACGTCGTAATGCTGATTCTTGAATCCGAATGATGATTAATGATAACATACCCAAATGTCTTTGGATGGCTCCCCATCGATTCAAATTCAAAAAAATCTTTATCATTTTCTTTGAAGTTGATTATATTTATACATAAAACATTTGATTCGTTCTTCCGATAATTGATTAAACCATTTACCATTATGTTTAAAATGTGATCCAACAATAATGGCTGCTATGTTTTTATCGAAAAATCTGGATAGATTTTGTTCCGTTACACCGGAACCAATCAATATTGGTTGATCATCATCAACCGATAATGATTGATTAATTTGATCAATATCGGCGATCGAAGGTGGATCACCTGTTTCACGACCTGTTATGATGATACCATCGGTTAGAAAAAATTTAGCTGCTTTAGCCATTTCTACTAAGTTTAAATCATCGGTTATTGAATGTGAACAATGTTTCTTTTTAATATCAGTAAGGATTAATATTTGTTCAGCATCAATTTGACGACGATATCTTAATAATGGACCAGCACATGCTTTAGGCATTAATCCTTCATCAGCCACATGGCTAAATATAAATCCTTCCGTACGAATAAATTGAAATTGACATGCTTGTGCAACAGCTAATGCTTGTTGATTTAAACCGGCTAGAATTTGTATACCACATGGAATTTCCCGGGGAATAATACGACGTAATTCTGTACATATTCTTGTCATACAAGCCGTTATTTCTGGACCAGAATCTTCTGATTGTATATATGGTATATCGAACATATTTTCAACTAAAATACCATTGATACCATTACGAATGTATATCAGAGCATCATTACAAGCATGATCGATAAGTTGTTGAATATCAAAACAATGACCATGGTTTCTTGAAGCACAAGGTGTACCTGGTAATGGTCGTACATGAATCATACCAATCACAGACATCTGATCACGGTTAAAATATTTAAAAAAATTATTTTTTAACATTTTTTTTTTCAAAAACTTTTTCAAACTTGAATCACAGACACATGTTCCATACGGAAATGTTTCCAGAAAATTCCAAATTTTTCAAAAAAAAAACTTTCCCGGGAAAAAAAATCACAGATTGTTTATGTATGACTCATTTTCTCAACAACAACAACAGCAAAAAAAAAAAAAAAAAAATATTCTCGTTTGGGAAAGAGAGAAATTGAATGAATCGAATGGGGGAAACAAAAACAAAAAAATAAGCGAGCTTTCTTTCTTTTTGCGAGTGTTTTTCTGTTTCATTGCAAAATTTGTGTGTTTTTTGTAAACCCGCTTTTTTTGGTTTACGTGCAAAAAACAAAAAACAAAACAAAACAAACAAGCCAAAAGAGAGTGGAAAAAGAATCTTAAAAACAACAACCANTCCCTGATTGTTTATGTATGACTCATTTTCGCAACAAAAAAAACAGCAAAAAAAAAAAAAAAAAAATATTCTCGTTTGAGAAAGAGAGAAATTGAATGAATCGAATGGGGGAAACAAAAACAAAAAAATAAGCGAGCTTTCTTTCTTTTTGCGAGTGTTTTTCTGTTTCATTGCAAAATTTGTGTGTTTTTTGTAAACCCGCTTTTTTTGGTTTACGTGCAAAAAAACAAAAAACAAAACAAAACAAGCCAAAAGAGAGTGGAAAAGAATCTTAAAAACAACAACCAGTCTGTTGTTGTTGGTGATTTTCTGAAGCATGTTTTCATCCGTATTGATGTTTTGAGAACTTTTTTTCATTTATCCAACGGTTTTTTCTGGAAAAGAATAGCTTTCCTCAACAGCAACAATGCCTCGAAATTCACGTTCAACAGCAGTTTCATCAACGAATTCGACTTCGACTTCGGCTTCGAATTCATCATCATCGTCTATGGCAAATATATCAACAAGACAAACACGTAATCTTTTACAATATAATCATCATCATTCACATCATTCACATCATAATCATCAAATTCCATCATATATACCAATGCCAAATACTCGTTCATCAAGATCGATTACAAATACAAATCAATTGAATCGTACATGTAAAATAACATTAGGAACAACAAATTCAAATCAATTACGAAATGGTTTATCATCTGCATCTTGTAACAGCACTGCCTCATCATCATCATCGACATCAACAAATTATCAACCGCAACCACCATCAGCATCAACGTTAACAGTATCGGGACAATATCAAAATCGTGATCAATATGGTGGTCTATCGAGAAATTCAAATTCTGTTCATTTTGATAATAATACATCATCATCATCGACAAATTTCCATCAACAACAGCAGATGAATTGTTCAACAATTTATTCAATGCCAAGATTAGAAGATATGACAAATAATACTGGTACTAACAACAACAACAACAACAATACACTTTCAACAACAACAACATTATCAATAGAAAAATATTTACAATCAATGAATGTTCGTTTTATTAAACATAATTCATATGAAGAAATTCGTTCATTAATTAAACCACAACGTATAAGTAAGGGTTAATTTTTTATATTATTTATTGAATGGAGTTAATAAATGATCTTTATCTTTTTACATCATCATCCTTAAAATCATAGATTCATTAGGTGAATCAACTAGGCAATCATTTCGTTCAACAATGGTTACAACATTAACAATGAGTGATCAATATAAAGTATTTTTACGTTTTTGTAAATATTCAACACAATTAAATGAACAAATGGATTGTTTACCAAAATCATTTAATTTATCAATTAATGAATGTACATTTACGGTATGTAATATTTTTCGGGTATTTTCTTTTCGGAAATTTTCTAATTGAAAACTTTTTCTAGATAAAAAATAAATATACATTCGCTCCATATGATATAACACAACGTATTGTTGGTGAAAAAAATAATGAAATTTATATTCGTGCAACCATACCGGAACATAATGATTTTTCCAATACGGATTATTATTATGGTGTATTTTTAATGAAAAAAATTGATCATAAAAATTTATTAAAATTATTAAAAGATAAGGGGCCACATGATACAAAATTATCAATTGATTTAGTTAAAAAGAAATTATTTACTGATGATGATGATGTTATTTGTGATAATGTAATGAAAGTATCATTATTATGTCCGGTAAGTTCCTTTTGTTTGTTTGTTGTATTTTTCATTGACTTTTTATTTTGTTTTTTGTTTCGCTTTTCAACTATAGCTTACATCATTACGTTTAAAAATACCATCACGTTCAAAACATTGTGATCATGTACATTGTTTTGATGGTGAAGCATTCATATCGATTAATGATATTACGCCAAGATGGAAATGTCCAATTTGTAAAATTTATATTAAATTTGATGATTTAATTATTGATGGGTAATTATTTATAATTTTTTGTTTTGTAAATTTCAATTTTACAAATGATTTTTGTTGGTTGTTTTGTTTTGTTATTATTTACAGACTGGTTTCACGAATATTAAAAAATGCACCAACCGAATCGAATGAAGCACAAATTTTTCCGGATGGTACTTTTGAATATCTTCAAAATGGTGTTAAAATAAATAACCCAAATATTTCCGAAGGTAATGTTGTTGCTGCTGATTATCATTATTTTCATTGATTGTTTTTTTTTCTCTCTCATAAAAAAATAGGTCGTCCGACAACAAATCTTAAACGAAATTCATCATCATCATTATGTTTGAAAAATGAAGATAAAAAACCACGTTTAGATTCGACGTTGAAGGCGCCAAAAAAACCAACAATCGAATGGATTACTATTGATAGTTCGGATGATGATGATAATAATAAAGATGATGACGATGATGATGATGATGATGATAGTGATAAGAATAGTAGTTCAGATAATTCGGATGCTAGTAGTAGTGCAACAATTATTTCACAAACTGATTGTAAGTGTTTGATTACTGATTTCTGATTTTTTTCACCATTTTCATTAACCCTTTTCTTTCACATAGATTCAAATTATCCACGTATAAATTCATCAAATTCATCAAATGATTGTAAAAATAATAATGATGATAATGATTCAGATGATGATTGTATGATTGTATTTGAAAAAATTAATCCACAAACAACAACAAGAAATATTGGTAATCATAATCATCATCATCATTATAATAATCCACGTAATTCAAGATCTTCTAATCATTCATCAAGACAAAGTGGTAATGGTGGTGGTGGAAGGAATGCATTAAGTGATAATTCAACAACAAAAATTTCCCCTACTATTGTTAGTTTAAATTCATCAACAATGTTGAATGCAATAAATAAGATGAAAAATTCTGTTTTGAATACATCATCATCATCATCATCACAATCAATAACATCGGGATATCAATCAACAGCAAGTATTGTTGATCAAATTCTTCAACAGAATCAAAATACTACTGCTACTGCTAGCGCAAGATTTGAACAACAAAATCATTCATATTCAAAGACATCAACAACAGCAGCAGTGACAACAACAACAACAGCATCTACTTCAAATTCAAATGTTAATGTTTCGACATCATCTGGATCATCATCTGGATCATTATTGGTTAATAATAATAATGGTAATGGTAATGGTAATAATCTTCGACCTAAAGCACCATTACAACAACAACAATATCAACAATCTTTATTTCAACAACAACAACAACAATCACAAAGACCACATGATTTAAGTATACATAATCAATATGTTCAAATGAATAATAATAATAGTAAACAACAACAACAACAACAACAAAGAAATCAAACAAAATCAATAATGACAGGTACAAATATTACTAGTAATAATCCTGTTGCTGCTGCTTCTGCTTCTGCTGCTGTTGATTTAAGTATTTTACCTTCGATTTCTTCTCATCAAACTACTAATCATCATCATCATCATCATCCGCATTCACATTTGAATGGTATTGTTTCGGTTCCACCGCCGCCACCACCACCAACGTCTTCGCATCCGTATCATCCACATCATAATCACCATCTTCAAAATTCATTAACACAGCAACATAGTAAATCGAATCAAATTATATTATCAGATCAAAATAATGATATTATTATTAGCAATAATAATAGTAATGGTTTTCAAAATTTTACAAATACAAATACAATTAATAATCATAATAATAATCATAGTAATTATTCATCAACATTAAGTTCAAGTATTAAAAATTTTATTGCTCAACAACAACAATTTTCATCATCATCATCACCATCTTGTCCATTTTCTCAACAACAACAACAACAAATTACAACCAACAACAACAACAACAATTCACCATTGTCAACTATTTATAATCCATGTTTAAATGATTTTTTAACAAATCATCAACAACAACAACAATCATCGACAACAACAACAACAACTATTGGTAATAATTTATCGGGTACAGCAACAACAACAACGACTATGAATAATGGACATTATCATCATTATAATAATAATAATAATAATTGTGGTGGTCATCATCCGCATCCACATCCGCATCAATATCATCAACATCCATTCAATATTGACCAACAACATCCACATCATCATCATCATTTGAATTTTGATCATCATCATAATCATCATCATAATACAAATGGTGGTGGATCGATTCCGATTAATCAATTTCTTTCACCATTTGATGGTGATCATCTTCAACAACAACAACATCAACATCAGCATACATCACCTTCTTCGTCTTCATCTTCATCTGCAGCGGCAAATTTTTCCACTAATAACACTGATTTGACGTACGTAAAATAGCCAAAACAAATAATGTTTGCCCACAAACCAAAAGATCATTGGTTTTCCATTGAAATAGATTAAAGATTCTCTTTGAAACAATCAATCAACCAACCAACCTACCAACCAACCAACCAACCAACCACCACCAATACCACTATTTATTACTTATTCTAATCTATAATGTTTATTGTTATTATCATTTTTTTTTATTACTAAAAAAAAGAAAATCAATATCATTCCTTTTACAAAAAAAAAATTCTTTATTTTACAAATAGTGATGAACAACAACAAAAAAAAATTAAATTCGAATCGATAGTATCGATATAAAAAAATAATCGATTGTTTTTTTCTGTTTGTTTCTTCCTTTCCGACCTTTTGACATTTTTTTTCTGTTTCTGTCGTCGTTATTCTGTGTTTTGTTTTGACATTTTTGGTTCAGATTTGGCGTCAACAACAACAACGCAAATATTCATGTAAAAGCTGAACATTCTGGAGCTACATTTCAATCAACTACGTCAGCAGCTGATTTATTCCTATCATCATCAAATGATCCATCAAATATTTCATCAACCGATCCATATCATTGGTTATTTAATGATATTACAACAAATCCATTAAGTTTAGCGTTTGGTAATGATTTGGTAAGTCATTGTTTTCATTTTCGTTTTCTTGATTCTAATTTTTCAATTTAATTTAACCCCCTCAGAGTCCATTTATACGATCAACATCGGCATCGTCATCGGCATCATCTTCAACCGTAAAAGAACCTCAACCACCACAAACACCAACGACAACAACAACAACAACAAATTTCCAGTTTCAATCGATATCGATTTCATCGTCATCAAATAGTAGCACCACTAGTAATTCGACTGCAAATATTCCGTCAAAATATTCATTATTACAACCTCGATAATTATAATTATAGAAAATTTGTAAATATAGAAAAAATTTTTGTAATTTGAAGAAAAACTCAAAATTCATTTTTTTATTCAGTTGTTGTTGTTGTTGTTGTTGTAATATTGTTGTTATAATAATCTTCATTATCGTTTACTAATTCTTCTTCACCATCAAATAATGATGTTGATGTTGGTGGTGGCGGTGTTGTAGTATCATCAAATTTTGTTGTTTCCGTTAATCTTGGTGAACGAATTGGATGTTTTTGATTATTACTTTTAAAGCCAATTGTTTCATCATTAACGCCAAAAGCGCCACCACCACTACTACGAAAATTTTGAATACCATTGGATTTTATTCTACTTAAACTTTGATCACTACGCATTGATAAACGTTTTGTACGATTTTTAGATTTGAATGCACCTTTTGCATCCATTTTTTTCATTGCACGTTCAACAGCTTGTTCAACTTGTTGTTCAAATTCAATTGATTCGGATGAACGATAACGTTGACGGGCAATTAAATAGGACATAAAACCACAATAAATTATTAAAAATATTGCTACAATATTTGTTAGTAATTTTGGTGATGATGGATTACTTGTATTATATTCAATATCGGATAATGATGATGATGATTTTTGAAAACCATTATAAAAATCTTCATATTGATTTAAACCTATGATACTTGTTATCATTGCCATTATTAAACAACCTAAACCTAATAATCGTACTAATAATAATAATTGATTTAATTTTTTTAAAAATTTTTGTCTTTTTTTTGGTCGTAAAAAATTATTTTTGTTTGTTTGTAATGGTATTTGTTTAAAAAATAGATAAAAATTACCAATACAATATAATGTAAATATTAATATTGTTATTAAACCAAACCATGAATGCATTGTTTGTAAATGTATTTTTCTTTTCATTATATGCCATTTATAAATTATTATAAAACTTATTAATAATAATGTTAATATTGTTATTAAAAATGGTAAACGACAATAATTTATTGTTCGTTTGGATGTTATTAATATTAATGCTATTATTATTTACAAAAATGGAGATAAGAGAGGAAATTATCATTAGTAAGTTTACAAAAAATTATTACAAAACAAACTTACAATTAGCTAAAAATACAATCATACTAATAATCATAAACATTGGATGATAACTTAATGCATTATCAAATAAATTACCACCATTATTATTAAAACCACCATAATATTGTACAATTAATGAACCAAGTAATACAATCAATATAATACCTAATAATTGTGCCAACATATAGATAATACAATTATGTATTAGTGCATCTTTTTCCACTGCTAATTTATCCGATAATTTTGTACCGGTTGTTGATACAATATGTGCTTTTACTTTTTCCACTATTGGTTCACCTTTTTTATTTCTATATACTTCTCTTATAACGGTTACTTTATCTTTATCTTTATCCGTTGATAATGATCCACCACCACCTTTATTATTATTATTATTATTATTATTATTCAATGTTGCTGATGATGTTTTGGATGTTTGTGATGTTAATGTTGGTTCAGTTGTTGTTGTTTTTTCCTGTTGTTCCAAAATAATTGGTGGTAATAATGTTTTTGTTGTTAATGTTGGTGATAATTTTGATGGTCCTTTTGATAATTTTAATCCAGCAATCGGTTGTTGTTGTTGTTGCGGTTGTTGTTTTTCCATTGTTGTTGTTGTTGTTGTTTGCGGTATTTTTGTTGCTGATAATGTTGAAAATAATGGTGGATTAAAGGTTTTTTCTGCTGCTGCTACTGTTGGCGGTGGCGGTGGTGTTTTCTGCTTCGATTTAACTCTACCGGGTGATTTCAATGATTTTTGACGTTGTTTTGGTGATCTTTTTCTACTACCCGGTGGTGGCGATAATCTTTTTTTCGGTGATAATACTTTTGGAATATTCATTGTTGATGCAGTTATTTTGCTTGCTGTCGATTTTGTTGTTGTTGTTGCCGATGTTGTTGATTTTGGTGATAATAACCGTTTTTGTTGTTTTAAATCTTTTGATTTTTTTCTTAATTGCGATGATGATGATGATGGTGATAATCTACTTTTAACTCTATTTCTTAATTGTTCTGCTGTTGTTGTTGTTGTTGATTTTGTTGTTGTTGTTGTCGGTATTGTTGTTGTTGTTGTTGTTGAATATTTTATTATTGATTTATTTGTTCTTGATTTCATCAATGGATAACATTCTTGTATTGAATTTTCTGTTTGAGTACTTTTTTCATCGATCGATGAAAATTCTGGTATACGATGTTTCGTTGATGGTACTGGTATCCATTTTTCTGGTATTTTTTCATTATAAGGTTTAAATGGTAATACCATTAATGGTTTTGGCTGTTGTTGTTGTTGTAGTTTCGGTTGTTGTTGTTGTTGTCTAGGCTGTTGTTGTTGTTGTTTCGGTTGTTGTTGTTGTTGTGTTCGTTTCTGAATTCTATGCAAATCTTTTATCGTTGGATGATGATGATGATGATGATCTATTGATGATGAATTTGCGGCCAATGTTGATTGGGATGAATCATATTTCCCAATAATTCCTTCTTCTTCATCAACAATAATTTCTTCATTATCATTTTGTAATTCCGGTTGTAATTTTATTGTTAATGTTTCTGCAATTGATTTTTCTGTTTTTTCACTTTGTGATTTTGATTGTGATTTTTTCATTTCATCAAAATTTGTTTTTATTATCGGTTCTGGTTCCGGTTGTTCTGGTTCTGATTCTGAATGCGATTTTGAATGCGGTTTTTTTATTACATCCGATATACTACTACTACGTATTGTATCCGAATCGGTTATCGTTTCTAATGGTACAAAAGTTTTTCTTGACTTTTCATCAATTGTTTTTTCAAATGCAAACGGAAATGTTCGGTCATCCATTTTTTGATTGTTGTTGTTGTTGTTGTTATAGTAGTAGTTGTTGTTGTTGTTGTTGTTATCGTAATCGTTATTATTATTATTATCGATTGATTGATTATCGTCGTTATCGCTATTGTCGTAATTTTGTTGTTGTTGTTTCTTTTTTGTTTGTTCTGGTCGTCGTTTTTTAATCGATAATTTTTCAATCAATATATGATATATTGGTGTTATATAACGATTAAATAATTCGGTTAATATTTTTTGTAACGGCGCAATTATAATTTTTTTTCTGGTTAGCCTTTAACACAAAAAAAATATTAAAGGCGAAATACAAAAAAGAAAAAACGAAAATTAATAAAAAGAATTAAACACAAAAACGATTTGAAAGTAATGGATTTTCAGCTGAATTTTATACATTTTTGTCGATAATTCTTTATTTTGAAAATTTAATTTGTAATTTGTAATTCCAGAATTACAATTTACAAATTACAAATTACAAATTAGAACATTTTAATTATTTAAATAAAACCCATTACAAATAGCCCATTACACAGGAAAAAAGCTTTTGTAATTTTATGAATGTAAATGCGAAATTTTCTGTTTTAAAAATTATAATTATTCCTTTTGGTGAATTTTCTTATTACTTTTTCAGTATTTTTCATTTTTGTAAAAAATCATTATATTAATAAATCTCAATTAATCAATCAAGACAACAATAAGTTATCATAGCTGTTATTTGAGTTGTAATTTTTATCATCCAGGTACAGGAATAATAATGTCACCATTATCAACAAATTCATCATCACCAACATCACCATTTGATAATGATGATGATGATGATGAAGGTATGATACCAGATGATGATCAATATCAAGAACAAGATTATGATTCAAATATTAATGAAGCATTTATATCATCATCATCATCACAACAACCTGTTGATTCAAATGATGAAACAGGTGCTTTTATTGAAGAAGATTTTTCACCACCACCACCACCACCACAATCAGCAGCAAAAAAACAACGACGACCACCACCACCACCACCACCACAAAGAATTGAAAAAATAAAAATTCGTGCAAAATTCGATGAAACAAAACAAGAAAATTTTATCGATCCAAATGGTTTGAATTGTAAATTATATTTCATTGCACAATCATTAGCATTAATAATATTGATTATAATGTTAACATGGTTAATAAGATATTTTAATGGTTTTAATTTGATTGGTCATCATATTATTGATGAAAAACATATTGATAGATTTATTAATTTTCATCCATTAGTAATGACATTTACAATGGTTTTTGTAATGGCCAATTGTAATTATAATTTATAAACTTTTTTGTAATTTTCTTGTAATTAATTTGTAATTTTATCCATTTTTTTCATTTATAAAAATAGCCATTTTATTTATAAATTCATCAAACAAATTAACAACAGCCCGTTCAATATTAAGTATAACAATATTTTCATTAGATATTATTGGTTTAATGATTACAATTTATTGGCATATGAATGTAAAATTACCACATTTACAATCATTACATTCATGGTTAGGTATATTAACATTAATAATGTTAATATTTTATTTTTGTTATATATTATATGTTTATGATAATCAAGATATTACTGAACAACAACGTTTAGATTTGGTATTTACTGTACGTTTATTCGGTCTGGCAACATTAATTATTGCTGGTACTACTTGTTTGATTGGTTTGAATCAAATAATATCGATGAAAATTCCATTAACAACAACAACAACAACAACATCAAATTCGACATCGGTGACAACGAAAAAACAACCACCACGTTATGCAATAGAAAAAAATTATACAACATATTTTAAAGAAGAAACATACCGATCAGAAACAATATTAATTGCAAATATAATGGCAATATTAATTATTGTTTATATAACAATAATGATGTATATGATAATAAAATTTCGACAAAAACCATTAACTGGTAATATATTTCGTCAACAAATGGAAAGACAATTACGTGAAACAATTGAACATACAATGTTTACTATTGATGAACAAAAAGATTTTAATGATGGTAGTTATAATCATGATTATGATTTAAGTGATAGTAGATTATCATCACCACCGCCGACACCGATACCAATGAAAAATAATAAAACCAAAAAACATAATAAACATTAAAAAAATTGATGGAAATTCAATTTAAAATTCCTTTTATATAAATGTTTATCACAAAAAAAAATGTTTCCGGAAAAAATCTTCCCGAAAAAAATATTTCCGGAAATTATTCTTCTTCGGAACTTGAACTTGATGATGAATGGCGACCACCCCAACCTTTATGTGACCATGATCCTTTATGTTTATGTTTAAATGCTTTACCTAATAATGTTGCACCTAATGCAGCAGCACCTGCACCAGCTGCTAATCCAGCAATCGGTATTGCTGCACTTGATTTTTTATGTTTATGTTTTGGATGATGTCCACCACCAATACCACCACCGGAAAGAACATTTCCAGCAACACCAGAAACAATACCAGGTACCATTGATCGTGAATGATGTTTACCAAATAATTTTTTACTAATAGCATGTGTTGCTATACCACCAGCTACACCTGTTAATGCACCACCTAACATATTTCCAATTCCACCACTAGATGATTTATTTTTTCCTGATTCTTGTTGCTGTTGTGGATCATATGAATAATTTGATCCACTAGCAGTTGGATAATAAGGTTGTTGATTTGGATAATTTCCTGGCATTGAAGGTTGAACAGAAGGAGGATAAGCTTGAGGATATTGTGAACCTGATGGCTGTGATGCATAAGGTGGATAAGGTGTTTGACCTGTTGGATATGGTATTTGACCGGTAGGATAAGGTGGCATTCCTCCTTGTTGTCCTTCGAAACCATATCCTGGATTATTATATGGTGGTGGTGCAGCCAATTCCGATGGTATAAGTGGATAAAGTCCAGGATAATTGCCTGAAGAAGAACCCATTTGATGATTATTTGTATACCAAATTGAAAATGAATCAATACGAGCATCACCAGTTAATGAAACATGTGTAATACGTTCAAATGGTAAACGATGATGATATTCAGTAAAATGTTGTCCATTAATTGCTATACGATATTCATTCGGTTCGATTGAAATTAATATTTCAAATGGTGCACCAGGATTGGTTGGAAAACCACCAAAACTTTCTTCAGGTCCCCATTGTCCAGAAATTAATGAATTTCGTATAATACGTGGTGGTGGACTGAATGCTAAACTTAAATACAGGGCTACATCATCATTAAAATTTAGGGATGATCCACATTGTAATGATATTGCAAAACTGTTTAACCGAACCAAAAACGAAAAAGATTTTTAGATTTTTCAGAATGTATTGGATTCAATAAAAACAAAACAAAACAAAAAAACATACAAATTTGAATCAGGTTGTGATTGTCCTTTGGCTTGTATAATTGATCCAGGTTGAAGTTGTTCACTTGTTGGACCACAATAAGGCACATTCTTTAATCATCATAGGTAAGAAGAAGAGAGAAAGAAAATTATTTCAAAATTCATCAAAAAATTCAATGATTGATTACCGGATACTCAAGATGCATTTTGTTTGGTTGTCCAATTCAGATAGATTTGATTTGATTGATTGATTTGATTGATTTGATTGCTTGATCGAATTAGATAGAAAAGAATGAATACTATTTGATAAAATTTGAATCAACAACAACAACAAAAATCAAGGAAAAAATAAACATTATCCTCATCATCATAATAATGATGATGATGTAAACACAAAACAAAAATCAAAACAAGAAAGATGAGAATGAAATGAATCATTCGAAATAACTTTGTATCTTTTTGAAAGTATTGCCATCTATCGATGATCATAGGCAACTAAAACGCCATACATAAAATACGTTTTATCATTTTTTTTTTGTGTGAGCAACGTATGCAAAGTGAGAAAAAAATACCGGTCGCCTGATTTTTTGGTTTTATTTTCTTTTCTTTTCTTGAATCCATCAATCAAACAAACAAACAGCAACGAAAAATATCATCAAAATAAAGTAAGAATTTAAATGATTTGATCAATGAATGTTTTCTCTTAAAGTCCACCAGGAAGAATATTATTCGAAAGATTTTTTTTTTACATAAACTTTTTTTTTGTTTTTTGCTCTGGTTTTTGACTTTTACATAACATCGATTTTTTTTTCATTGGGTTTCCTTGTTTCCTTATTACGTAATATATTTTTTTTCCTTTTTTCAATGTTTTTCTTTTTTGTTTGGCTGGTTACTATACCTACGCCGTTGTTTTGTTTGAATATTTTAACTTTTTTTTTTATTCTAGTTTTTTTCTTTTTGCTTTTTTTGACGTAATCTTTTTTTTCGTTTCTTTTTTATGTAGGGCCATTCTTTCTAAAGAAGATTCTTTCATCATCATCATTCGAACAATAAGAATAAGAATTTCTGAAAGAATTTAGCATCATTTCATCGTCTGTTCATTGATCTTGAACAAACAAAAAAATCATTATCATTANCGGATACTCAAGATGCATTTTGTTTTAGTTGTCCAATTCAGATAGATTGATTTGATTGATTGGTGATCGATTTATTGATTGATTGCTTGATCGAATTAGATAGAAAAGAATGAATACTATTTGATAAAATTTGAATCAACAACAACAAAAACAACAAAAATCAAGGAAAAAATAAACATTATCCTCATCCTCATAATGATGATGTAAACACAAGACAAAAATCAAAACAAGAAAGATGAGAATGAAATGAATCATTCGAATAACTTTAGAAAGTATTGCCATCTATCGATGATCACAAGCAACTAAAACGCCATACATAAAATACGTTTTATTATGTTTGTGTGTGTGTGTGAGCAACGTATGCAAAGTGAAAGAAAAAAATACCGGTCGCCTGATTTTTTGGTTTTATTTTTATTTTCTTGAATCCATCAATCAAACAATCAATCAGCAGACAAACAGACAAACAAGCAACGAGAAGTATCATCAAAATAAAGTAAGAATTTACATGATCAATGAATATTCTCTCTCACAGAATCCACCAGGAGAATATCATTCGAAAGATTTTGTTTTACATAAAATTTCTTTGCTCTGGTTTTTTGACTTTTACATAACTTCGATTTTTTTTCGTGTTTTCCTTGTTTCCTTATTACGTAATATCTTTTTTTTTCCTTTTTCAATGTTGTTTTTTTTGGCTGGTTACTATACCTACGCCGTTTTTTTTTTGTTTGAATATTTTAACTGTTTTTTTCTATTCTAGTTTTTTTTATAACAAAAACTTTTTTGACGTAATCTTTTCTTTCGTTTCTTTCTTTTTTATGTAGGGCCATTCTTTCTAAAGAAGATTCTTTCATCATCATCATTATCATTCGAACAATAAGAATTAGAATTTCTGAAAGAATTTAGCATCATTTTATCGTCTGTTCATTGATCTTGAACAAAATAATCATTATCATTATCATCGACATTATCATCATTGCTATCGTCGTTGCATATGATTTTCTTTCATTCAACAACAAAGACATTTAGTAGTTTTTGTCTTGTGTTGAAGACATTGAATCATCATCATCATCATAAACATTGATAAAAGTCAGCCAATTTCTTTTTCTTTTCTCTCGTTTTCTCTCTCTCTTATCATCATCATCATTTAAATTGAAAAAAAAAACGTAATTAGCTGTATGTACGGATCACATGATAATCAGTTTTTTAATTCAATTTCTCTTTTCTTTCAAACAGCAGCATTTTTTCGTTTTTTCTTGGTCCGAAAACAAACATTTACCGTTGAATTCTACGAAAAAAGTGCAAAAATTTAAGTTTTTCAATTCCGAAATAACCAGAAATACCAAAACAACCAGAACAGAAATGTCATCATCGACAACATCTTCTTATAATTTACGTAGTAGATTAACAACAACAACAAATAATTTTAAACAACAACAACAACAAAATGGTTCGATTAATTCCAAACAAATATCGAATGGTGGTGGCCAGCCTAAAAATGGAATTTTAAATAATCATAATAATCATCATCATTATAATCATCAATCGGATAATAATTCTTCGTCATCATCATCATCACGTCAACGTTCATCATCATTTTCACATCATCATCATCATTATCATCTTACCGATAGACAAAAGGTAAGAATTTCCTTTTATCTCTTTGAATCGATATTCTGATCCTTGTTGGAATCCTTGACAACCAAACCAAAGGAATTTACATTTTACTTAAACAAAGGGAAAATCGATTAGTAAAATTCTTAGTTAAATGATCATGATCATGGTGATTAGAATGAAGAATATTTACCCAATCGATCAAAACACACAGAATTTTGATAAATTCCAAGAAACCAATAATTCTGTTACGTACTTTATGAGTACATTTTGGAATTTTTCATTTGGCTCCTTTTGTTTTTGTTTTTTTTTTTTGGTTCGAAATTTACATTTTTTTGGAATGAAAATGTAAATGTAAACATATATCTTTTAGTAATTTTGTTGTTTGTAATTTTGTTATTATTTGTAATAATGATGTCATATGATCGATGATCATTGATCGTTAATGATCAGTGATCAATGATGATCAAAATCGATAAATGCAACGTCATAATCAAATTATTTTTGTATAATCCGATGATGATGATATCGTTTAAAAATCAATCATCAGATGTGTGATTGAAATCCTTGTTATTTTTCTAAATTGATTCCATTGAAACAAACAAGCATCAACAAATGTGATAAATCCAAAGATATTTTCAATTTACCGGAGAGTTAGATAGAGGGAGACACAAAGAGAGATAGAGAAAAAAATGATGATGATGATGATTACCATTAGTAACGAGAATAAAATGTCAACAGTAGATTTAGAATTAAATGGTGATAATAATGATGATGATGATGATCATGTAAATGAAACGAAAAATTTATATAAAAATTCATTATCAATGATTATTAATGAAACAAAAGAATCTAATTTAAAATCATCAATAATGACCAATAATAATAATATTGATAATCAAACAACAACAACAAAATCATCATCATTTATAATTGAACAACAAATTAAACATTCTGCTAATAATCATTATCATTATCATCATTATAATAATCATCATTTATCAATGGATGTTAAAGTAATGTTTGTTGTTTTGTTTGAAAGATACATTTTTTTCTGTTCCCAGTATTCTAAATGTTTGAAATATTAGAAAAAATTCCGTTTGGAAATTCCTTTCCCCAAAAAAAAAACAAATGTTTTTGCTTGTTTTGTATGATGCTAATCTATTTTATTTGTTTTGTTTTGGTTTTGTTTGTTATTACTTATTATTAATAGGAAGAAATTCAATCATTGGTCATTTGGCGTCGTCCATTACAAACAATATATCATGCTATAAAGAATTTTATTGATTTGCTCAACAATTGTTATACATTTTTGTAAGTATCATTTACATTCTTTTGTTTTTGTTTTTTGATATATGATATTAATAATGATGTTTGTTTTTCGTTTGTTTTGTTTTGTTTTTTCTTTCTCGTTTTTGACATTCTCATTTGAATATATTGGATTTGCATATATTGGATGTATTTGCATATAATAAAGGATCATACATCATTTAATGTATTGTGTTTCAATGACAATATTTATATTAATATTTTTCATTGCTTTACAATTAAATGGTTTACATCAACCATATGTACAATTTATATATAAACGTTTAGCATGGTGTATTTATTGGTGTGGTTTAGGTATTTTATCATCAGTTGGTCTTGGTACCGGTTTGCATACATTTATTTTATATTTGGTAAATGAAATTTTAACCTTTTTTTTCAAACAAAAATTCATTAATTTTTTTCTTCTCATTTTTTTCATATTCCAATTGGATAACCACAAAACTCGGAAAAACTTTGGAAATTTCGGTAAAAAGGGTCCACATATTGCATCGGTAACATTAGCAGCATATGAATGTAATTCATTGGATTTTCCTGAACCGCCTTATCCAGATGAGTATGTTTTTTTCGTTTGTTTTATCGATGATTTATGATCATTACATTTGAACATTTTGATTTTACTAATTTTCTTTGTTGGATTCATTCATCCATTCATTTTTGTTGTTTTTGTTTTCTTTTCCTTATAGGATAATATGTCCAACGAATGTTGCAGCTACTGCTACTACTGCAGCAATTGGATCATCAATAAATGTTTGGTCGATTATGTCAAAAGTACGTTTAGAAGCATTTATGTGGGGTGCCGGTACTGCATTAGGTGAATTACCACCATATTTTATATCTCGTGCACATCGTTTAGCAATTGTAAATCAAGGTCATCAAGATATTGATGTTGATAATGATAATATTCTTGAAGAATTGGAAGAAATTGAAGATTTAGTAACAACAACAAATGTTGATAATGATGATGATGGTGATAATGGTGGTGATCAACAACAACAACAAGAATCTACTACGAATATTGAACGTAGTCGTCGTCGTCGTCAATCATCATCCGCATCCACTCTTTCTACATCATGGGGACAAAAATTGAAAACAAAAATGGTATTATTAATGAAACGAATGGGTTTTTTTGGTATATTAGCCTGTGCATCGATACCGAATCCATTATTCGATTTAGCCGGTATTATTTGTGGTTATTCATTAATATCATTTTGGACATTTTTCGGTGCAACATTATTGGGAAAAGCTATTTTTAAAATGCATATACAAAAATTAGTTGTTATTATTGTATTCAATGAAACATATGTTCAAAGTGTATTAACATTTTGTAGGTAAGTAGAAAGTAACCATTACTGATGGTCATTTTTATCTATGTTTTGCAACATAAAACAATGAATAATATTTATGTTTTTTCACTATTTCATACAAAAAGAAACATTCCATACATTGGACATTATATTCATGAACCATTACGTGATTATTTACAACAACAGAAAAATAGTTTACATCGTGGTACAAATCAAATGTTGGAAACAAAGGTATGCTGGATACTTTTTCTGGTTTTTCGTGTTTTGTTATTTTCATATTTCATATTTGCTTGTTTTGTGTTAGGGCCAATCATGGATCTCTATAATATTTGAAAGTTTTGTCATCATTATGGTTACATATTTTATGATATCAATAATTAATTCAATGGCCCAAAGTAATTTAAAACAATATTATCAACAAAAACAGAAACAACAACAACAAAAATCGGATGATGATAAGATGATGACCACCGATAAATTTCAACAGCAACAACAACAATTGAAAACTACAACAACAACAAACATATCGCCAAAAAAATTGGATAAAACTGATTGATTGATTGATTGATTGATTATTTTACATCATCATTATCCCAACCGATTTATGGATTATCATCATTATCATTATCAAATCAAAATATATAACCAGAGAAATTAGGATTTAAAATTTAATTTTTTTTTTTTAAATAATATTAATATATTGACCATATAAATGTTTGTTTGTTTGTTTCAACAAAACTGATTGATTGATTGATTGATTGAAATGAAGAAAAATAATAATAAAAAAAAGATTTTTTTTAAAAAGATTTTATTCGAATTTTCGATGTATTTTGGTTTGTTTGTCAATATTTCAATTGGATCAAATCGAAATCTACAATCAATACTGGTTGTCAACAAATGATGGAAAACCAAACTACCAAAAGTAACCCAAAAACCCAAACAAACATCCATCATTTTTACGTTATTTGATTTTTTTCAATAACAACAACAACGAAAATATGATAATGTAATATTAATATAAATTCTGTATGAGTGAATGAATGATTCATATTACAAAATGTATCATCATCATCATCATTCAAATATTATGTTATAAATTTATTAATTTTATTTACCGAAAAAAGATGCACGTAAAAATTTTTTTTACCCAAAATATTTGTCAATATTTTTTTCGCATATATGAAAAAATTGGTTACATTTGGTTACTATTTACAATGATGATGATAAATGTTTGATCGGGTAACCAAAAATTGATTGATTGATTGATTGATTTGGTCGTAGGGAAAAATGGAAGCAAAAATGGAAACCTAAAGAATAAATAAATTTGAATTTTATAAACTCGAAAACCCAAGCAAACCAGAAAAAAAACCGATTTGACAAGGAAAATGATGGACAGGTTATGTTTCTATCTGTATTTCAAAAATTCAACCAAATTTTTGTTTTATGACATTCATTTTTTCCCGTTGAGAAATTTGATACATTACCAGCATATATGAGATGTGTGTGTAACCGAATATTGTGAGAAAAAGATGGCAGCTTCCAGGTTGTTTCAATGTTTTTTTTTTCAATATTGATTTTGAAATAAAAAATCCATTTTTTTCCTTTTATTTGTAACAAAATATTGATATTTCCTATATGAAATGGAGAAAAAAACATCCCTGTGATGTGCGTCTGTGTTCAATGACAATTATGATGACCAAAATCAATTTTTCTTTCCTTCTTATTTTGAATGACAATTTTTCTTTTGTTCGAAAACATCTTTGTTTGTATCGAGAAGATACCCAAAGAAATTTTGAAAATTAAAAAAAAAATTTCTGCTGACGTTTCTTGAAATTCTGATGACAAATGACAAAAGATGATTTCATTTTCGATTGAAACAAACAAGAGAGAAATTTTCCAAAAATGTTTGATGTGTGAAAGGGACTTGTTTATTTGAAAATGACAAACCTGGATTTTTCAAAATTAAATTGATGGTGCCCAGGTGAACAAAATTTCAATGTTTTTCTTTTGGGAAGGGAAAAAATGTCAAAATCAAATTAAATTGACAAACAGAAAAATGGAAAATGGAAAAAGTTTTCAATTTCTTGTAATAACAATAGAAAAAGAAGAGAGAAAGAGAAATTTCCTGGAAAGATTCTCGGATCGATTTCAAAAATTCTGCCCACTATAGTGTCCTTCTCGTTGTTTTTTCCCACTTCAAAAGAAAGTTTTTCCGGGAAACTTCCAGGTATACCTGATATATGACAAAATCACAGCAGCAGCAACAATATCACCGAATCAGCAAACTTTTCCCATTGTTAATCAATGACAATGATGATGATTTGAAATGAAAAAAAAATAACCCTGAAGCACTATCATAATAATCGTCATTATCATTGTCATATACACACACCATATTCACATCTTTGGTTGTTTGGTTGTTTACATTTTATTGATTTTTTCTGGTTTGATTTGGTAAATTTTATGGAAAAAATAATGATAATGATGATGTTTATGGGAAATTTCTCCTTTTGAAGGAAAGGTTTTTCCCGATTTGAGATTGGAATTTTCAATAATTTTTTTTTGTTTATTGAAAACCTATTGATCGATCGATTGATCGATTCTTTCTTTCATCAAATTAATAATAATGATATGATATGATTCCATTAATATGATTGCAAAAAAAATTTTCAAGAAAAATTCTTCCGGGAAATATTCTGAATCGAGAAACAATATACCCGATCCAGAATTTTTTCTTCCCTTCCTCGATTTGAGAACCAAAGCAAAAACAAAACCGAGAAGAAAGTTTTTTGGAATGTTTTTGATTGAAATGCAGGAGAATTCTTATTTGCTTTTCAATGAATAAATAATCATTATTATTATTATTATTAACCCTGATGAATCATGCAGGTAAATGAAAAAAAAGGAATATTGTGTTTTTTTTTAAGATGATGATGTTTGTTTTGTATTGTTTTATTCTGAGAAATCAAATGATAATAAGATGTAGAGATGCGGGAACCAAACAAAAAAAAAATCATTCATCCAAAGCCAAGTTGTTTTCGTTTCTCGATCTAAAAACATTGATTTGATTTTTCGAAAAAAGCAAACAATCATACAATCTTACAATTGATGATAATGATGATTGAAATTAATTCATTTCAATTCTTCAGTACAATTGAAACAACGATATTTCATTATTTCAAACCTTTTCTTTGATTTGATTTTCTTTGTTATTTTTATCTCCAATGTTTTCCTGTTTCAATGATTCTCCTTGTTTTTCGTTTTTTGTTTTTTGTTTGTGAAAATAAAATTACATTATCATACCTATTTCTACCTTATCGTAGATTTCTCTCAGGAGATTCATTCATTCATTCAAATGGATCCCAAAAAACAAAGAAAATCATTAATAATAAAGATGATGATGATGGAATCAAACACGCAGATAGTTATTGTGAAAATGAAGACACAAAGTTTCAATTTTTTTTTGGTTAATGAAATTGGCGAAAAAGAATCATCACACGTGATGCCAAACACTGATGATATAAATGAATTTGGAATATTCATATTTTTTTCCCGGAAAATTTCTCGCTTTTTGGATTCCTTTTCTTTTCAATTATTAAATTTGATAATTTTGATATGGAAGTAACAGTGAAAAAAATGAAAATTTTTCCTTGATGAAAAATTGATTTTCGTTTGTTGCTTGCTTCTGAGCATCACCCAGGAATCGATCTTTGGGGTCTTTCAAGCCAGAAAAAGACCAGAAAAAAACCCGAAAAAACCAGAAAAATACCAGAAAAATATCCCTTTTTGATGGTGTGAAGAAAGAAAGAAACGTGCCACCACCATCACTACGAAAACTTTATGACATTTCCCAAAAAGAAAAAGATTTCAATTTCAATCGAAATAATTGTCCAATGATTAATTGATAATCTCCTACTTCTTCTTCTTTTGCTTGCTGGTCTCTTTTTCTCCAAATAAAATTACGTGACGATCACAATGAAATGGTCGAAATTGAAAGTATTGTGTGTGTGTGTGTGTGTGTATCTGTGTGCAAGTAATGTTTGACGCTTGGAAAATCTCGAACTAATATTAGAAAAAAAGTAACCAAAAACAAACATCGTTAGTAAGTTGCTGAACTCTGGATCAATTTCTTTCATTTTTTTTTTGTTTCTTCATCGTTGTTGTTGTTGTTTGTTGTTGTTGTCGTTTGTTGTTGTTGTTGTTCATTTTATTATTATTATTATTCTTTAAGAATTTCATATTTCTTTCGATAAATTCATTCTGTTTGGTTTGAGAAGAAGAATCCGATTCTTCATGAAATAATAATGTAAATCTGGATTCCTTTTTTATTACTTTTCAAATTCTTTTCTTTCAGCTACTACTTCCCAAGAATTCCAGAATTTACTTCGAAATTCCAAAAAAATGGCAGTGGAAAGTAGAATCTGAAGAAAATTCTGTTTGAATCATTAATGGCTACCTAAAAAAACCAAAATGTTTTGATTTTTTTTTGGCCATTTTAAATTCGCTAGATCTTTTTTGGTTTTTTGTTTTACAATGATAAATGAATGCGTGGAAAGAATATTCTTTGAGTAGGTTTTTTTTCAAACCAGGAAAAAAACCAGAATTTTGTTTTCCTTCTCCCCTTAGAATTTATTTAATTTAATTTAATTTAATGAACAACAACAAAAAATTAATGAATGAAAGAATCAAGAATCAAGAATCGAGAATCAAAAAGCAAAACAAAACAAACAGAATTCAATTCCTAATTATCCTGTTGTAGGAATAATTGCTTCAAGGTAAACTCTTTTCAGTAAATATGCAAATTCTTTTCCTGTTTCATCATACAACATTTTTTTTTTCATAGAATCCGTATACCAAACAAACAAACAAACTTTGCCTAATTTTTTCGTTGTCATCATCATCATTATTTCTGGTTTTTTTCAACTCTCTCTGTCTAGCCTCTCACAGAATCTAGAATCCAGAATCTAGTAACAGAATTTCGTTGAATGCTTGGAAAAACAACAGAATTTTCTTTTTTTTCGTTGTTTCAAAAGTTTTTTTCTCGCACATCTTGTAATTTGTTCTTCACTTTTGTTTCTGGTTTGGTTTATTATTTTCCATCATCATCATCATCATCATCAACATTTAATCCATTCAGACTTTCAGGAGTTTATTCAGGATTCCTGTGCGTTTTTTTTTGTATCCAGATTCTGTATTCTGTTGTTGTTGTTGTTATTGTTGTCGAAGCTAACGATAAAACAAAAATAAACTTTTTTCCGCTCATTTGGTTAAATAATATCGGCCTAAATTGTTGTTGTTGTCGTCATTTGTTGTTGTTGTTGCTGTTGTTGTTGTTGAAAGTTAATTTCCTGATGAATAATGATGATTCGTGTGAATGACAAAAACAACAACAACAACAACAAAGATCCTGTTTAATAAATTAACTCTTTTCATCATCATCATCATCATCATAATAATCTTGAACTATTTTCACTCAATGATGACGACAATTTGGGTTTGCTA